TCCAACTAGTAATCAATTCAGCTTGTTCAATTGCAGATGTGTTCCTGGGAGTCTTTGGCTGGAGTGGGAATGGTATTATCAAAAAACTGTGTTCTTTCTGCTCTCCTACCACACACACACACGATATATACTGCTCATGTTCAATGAAAACTGCCATGAACCAAGAGTAGGTCACTTCTGAAACTTGCTGAGAATACTAAATAGCAAACAACGTAATTTCTCAAAAGTACAACAAAAATGCAGGGGAAAAAAAACCAAATGACAAAATCCCATCAAAACAGCCAAGAGATAGGTGGCAAAGTAGGACAAACTAAGAATCTACAAATTCCAATAATTTCTTCGATTAAAGTCAAAACTTCACACTGCTTACACATGTTCAAAAATGTGTGACAGATTGCGAGGAAAAGACAGGGTTGGTAAGATAACAAAGATCTTTTAAAATTTTCTTTTGGTATTGGGAATCGAACTCAGGACTCACATTTGTCAGGCAGGCTCTGCACCACTGAGCTAGATCCTTGGCCCACAAAGATGTTTTTGAGCCTTGCATTTGAGGGGGGTATTGGGGATTGAACTCAGGTCCTTGTGCTTGCAAGGCAGGCAGTGACACCACTGAGCTAAATCCCTGACACAAAGATGTTTTTTGGTTTTTTTTTTTTGTTTTTTGAGACAGGGTCTCACTATGTAATTGAGACTGACCTGGAACTCACTATGCAGCCCAGGCTGGTCTCGAACTCACAATGATCCTCCTGCCTCAGCCTCGAGTGCTGGGATTATAGGCATGTGCCACCACATCCGGCACAAAGATGTTTTTTAATTAAGATAAATATAAGAGAAAACTAGTGAGTCTACTCTATACATAATCCTTTTGTTCCAAATCAAAGCAATAGGGAAAGATACTATATTTTTCAAGTAAACTAGAAAGTTTCACATACTCAAGGTTCCCTGAGTTCGGGGAAGTGAAATGCTATTAATGATCAGTTCTCCTGTCCTTACTGCATTTTACCAGAGAGGTCTTTGGGCTTGTAGCCCCAGATGTCTGGACCAGACCCACAGCAGGCCCTGAATACACAGGGTACTAGTCTGAGTTTCCAGACCCAAAAGAACAGGTCCTGAGCATTCACTTCTTCTCAGTCTGTCCGGAGTCTGGGTGACGTTACAAAGAAGCTTTGATCTCAGGAATATTTTTCTTTTATTAGTGCCTATTAATTACACAGAATGGGTTTCACTGTAGCATTTTCATTTGTGCATGTATACTATTCTGATATCTACTTCTTCATTACTTTCCCTTCTATCTCGCTGAGACCCTGGCCCTTTGCTAAGTCTCCCTTCTACTTTTATGTCATCTTTTATCCACTCAATTCCACATTAAGAGAAAACATCTGATATTGATCCTTCTGGGTCTGGTTTATTTCACTAACATGACGATCATCAGTTCCATCCATAGTCCTTCAGATGACACGATTTTGCTCTTCTTTAGAGCTGAATAATAAATACTCCATTATGTATATAAGCCATATTTTCTTTGTCCATCTGTTGATGGCACCTCAGCTTGTTCTGTATTTTGGCAATTGTGAATTGTGCCACAATAAACACAGGTGTGCATGTATCTGTATAGTACGTTTTGATCCCTTTGGTTGTATACCCAGGAGTGGTACAGGTTGGTCATATGATAATTCTATTTTTAGTTTTTTGAGGAACCTCTATACTGATTTCCAGTGTCTATACTGACTATACTATTTTACAATCTCACTAACAGTTCTTTTATTAGCACCACATGCAACTTTTTACTAAAACTTTTGGTATCAAGTTGCGTACTACTGATGACACTTGTCTGCAGGTTTACTGACATTTACCTAATATTTAAGGTAACAAAGCAACTACAGTAAGGTAACATTCTTTCAGTGCGTGGCAGGGGCCCTACATGAGCCATGCTTGTGTGACAGGAGTTGTGGCCTGTGGTGAAGCAGCCACCCCAGGCTGGTGACTGAACGCATACTGTGTGCTGCAGCTCAGAAGAGATGCCGCCACTGACACCCCACCTGGACTTCTTGGTACCCAGGAAGGTGGGTTTGGTCGACGGCCAGATCATCAGTTCAACACCAGCTTCCCGAGGGAGCGAAGTGTAAGTCAAGGAATAGAAAATGGACTAATACAAGTTCAAAAGTGAAAATTGGTGAGACTGAAAAAAGAAAAATAAGAGAAAAATCCATGAAATAAAAATCTGGTTTCTCAAAAAATAAAAAAGCTGTTGGCTTCCACCACTCTTGACCCATATGGTTGATGCAGGCCATCAAAATGAATGCAATCCAGGCTATGGTGGGCCTCCCGGCTTTAAACCAGCAGGAAGAACTTGTGGATTTACCAAACAACTACCCTTTAGGTGCTACCAAGGATGAGGAGGACAGTGATGGAGAGAGGAAGCATCAAAAGCGCTGGAACCCATCTGTTCTCTTGATGAAAAGAAGAGCTGGAAACTGGCTGAGAGATCTGAAGCTAGTCTGAAGGTATCAGGATTCATTATGAGTCTTGAACGATCAGGAGAAAAGCTGGTCCTTTCAGATCTTTTTGAACTTGTGAGAATTTCATCTTCATTGGCTGCTATGAAAAAAACAACTGAACAGAGTGAAATCCAAGAAAACTGAGGAATTACCCCTTAACAAAAGTTGAATAGATCCACAGAGAAGTAGCATTCAATAAAGCATCACAAATCCTCTCCAAATGGGATCCTACTGTTCTCAAGAGCAGCTGGAGGAGGAGCAGTCAGCCTTTGTTCACACTGAACTTATCTTCAGTGGCTGTAGGGCAAGAACCCCTCTGCAGTAAGAAGTTTCTACCTCCCTCATAAAAACAAGCAACCAGTGACAGACCCTTCATTGGCTCCCATGGAAAAGGCCTCTCTCAAAGCTATGAGCCTTGGAAAAGGCTAAGATGCACTGAGCAGAGCTTCAGAGGGCCTGGGCTTTGCAGTCCTACTATAAAGCCAGGGCACAAAAAGAGAAGAGAATCAAAAGTAAAAGGTTTCACAGATTTGTAAAGAAAGAAAAGGCCAAGAAAGTCCAAAAAGACTTTGATTAGCTGTTGAAAGTGAATTCTACTGCTGCACTGGATGAACTGAAAAAACTGAAAAGACTAGAATGATGGACTGAATGACCCTTAAGCACCAGAACAGTGGGAAATGGGCCAATTCAAAGACAAATATGGCCAGATATGACCTGGAGGCTTTCCAAACTGTGCAAGAACAACTGTCTAAGAACCAAGAACTGACAGAGAAACTCAAGGTCATCTCAGGGAGTGAGGATGAGAAGAGGGATGCCAAAGAGGAAGACCCTCTTGTCCCTGATGTAGTGAATGAAGTACAGATGCGGGCAGATGGAACAAATCCTTGGATGCTCAGGAACAGTAATGCACAAGAAGGTGAAATCCAGGCAGACTCTGAACAACTACCTGAACCTGTTGTGTAGAAGTTTTCTAAAAGTGAAGAAGACGAAAGATCTGCAGCAGAGGAAGAAATTTTGTTGGAAGAATCTGTGGAAAGACCATCCCTTAGAAAAATATTTGAGCTCAACCATGATACAGAGCCAGTGGGCAACCAAGAAACAAGATTGTAACAGCCAGGACATATTATGCAAATTGAGGACACTGAATCAGAAATTCAACAAGGAAAGCCATTACTCCAGGAAGCAAACACTGGGTCAGGCAAGGACTGTTCTCCAGGTCCAGAGAGAAGAATGTGCACCAGAACAAGAGGAATTTCTGCTGCTCCGGAGACCAGAGAGAGTATGAATTCTGAAAGAACTAGATCTAGGCAAAGAAGGGATTTTTTTTGTTTTGGTTTTTTGAGACAGGGTCTCACTATGTAGTTGAGACTGACCTGGAACTCACTAAGGAGCCCAGGCTGGTCTCGAACTCACAGTGATCCTCCTGACTCAGCCTCGAGCGCTGGGATTATAGGCATGTGCCACCAGGCCTGGCCTTAGGGCATTTTCAAAAGGAGCTTCTCAGACCTTGTTAAAATGGGAGTAAATGGAAAGAAAAATAACCAGACTGATGCCCCTAGGGGGGCAGAAAAAGAAGCAAATGGCTGATCTCCAGAACTTCCTAACTACATTTCTCAGACCTTGTTAAAATGGGAGTAAATGGAAAGAAAAATAACCAGACTGATGCCCCTAGGGCATCCTTCCATTAATTCTCCATTAAGGAGAAAATCTCCTTCCATTAAGTCTTTGGCCATTCCCACAGCAAAAGCGGAACTGGTAGAGAAGAGGAAAGAAACCTAAAGCAGATGAGAAGGAAGCTTCTGCTGGAGGCAACATCATCAGAGATTTTTTGGAGGAGGAGAGGGAAACTGTGGAGGCAAATAAGCCAAAAGATATGCAACTGATACTGCCTGGCTGGGGCAAGTGGGGTGGTGTAGGCCAGAGGCCCGGTGCCAAGATGAGAAACTGGTGCCTCATTAAAGCCCCTGAAGGTTCTCCAAGGAAAGATAAGACTTTGCCAAATGTGATTATTACTGAGAAGAGCGACATCTCTGCAGCAGCTCATCAGGCACAGGTGTTTCCGTATCCACTGACTCACCACCAGCAATGAGAAAGAACCGTCCAGACCTACAGGGTCTTCCAGTAACCCCAGAGGGCCTTCCAAAGGTAGTCACCAAGCCAGGCCAAATCATTCAGCCCATAAAAGCAGAGGGTGTGGGTTGTCACTTTTCTTCAAGGTCGGACCTGTCTGTCATACAGAGCGTCACAGCACGACCCACTGGAAATCACAAAAAGCGGTTGAAGAAAAACTGTAGATTATGAGTTGCCAGAGGACTGATATTTGGTGCTCAGGATTGGGAGTCCTGATTGTGCATCCTTTCATTCCTCGGTTGCAGGATCAATTCTAAAACCAGTTTAGCATAGTGTGGGTGTGATTAAGCCACATTTTAGAAATAAAAGCACACATATATACTATATACATGATATATATAAAGATAACATTCTAAGATCCCCCAGGCTTACCTTTTAGAGCTATCACCTTAAAGGCCGGATTTACGATGGCACTCTCTGCAGAGACAGAACATCTGAAAAGTGCCACTGGGTTGTTTATATCAATAATTACCACCTGCGACTGCTCTCCGACTTTCTCTCGAACACAAATGAACTTGTCAGATTCCATGGTGAGAGTGCTGAATCCAATGTTTGATAGGCTGATTCCAAGGTTTTGGAGCTAAACAGAAAGGAAGCATTTGATTAAAGCAAAGCTTTCCTCTGAAAGAGATGAGTTCTATCTAGGGCAGTAGCTAGCAAGTTTAAAAGGAGGAGGAAGAAAAGTACAGTGAGAATTTAGAAGCTGGTTGCGGTGGTACATGCCTGTAATTCCAGCACTCCAGTGTGCAGGAAAGAAGGAGTTAACTTTGATAATAAGAGAACATTTGGTTCAAGGCCTAGCAGCTGTACCTTGTGTGAAAAATAAATACTTCTTTATCTTTCTGGAATGCTTTGAAACCCAGCATAGCTTCTGTGGGAACCTTGCTTTTTTCCTGTTCACTTACGTGATTTGGTAAATAATTTCCACGCCTGTAAGATGATGGTTACATAATTGTATGATTTATAAGAAACCAGTTTGCCTCTGGGCTCTCTCCTGCAGTGATGGAAGAATGAAGTTGCTTCTGCTTTCTAAGAATCTTTTCTTTTCTTTTCTTTTTAATCCTCACTCTCTCCTTCAGGAACTGTTCGATTAGTGGGAGCAGGACTCCCACACTCCAGAATACTAAAGGAGGAGGATTCCAAATTCCAGCCAAGCCTGGGCACCTTAGCGACTTAGCAAGACACTGTCTCAAAATAAAATATAAAAAGGTCAGGAGATGTAGTTCAGTGAGGTCCTGGGTTCAGTCTCCAGTACTAAAAAAAAAAAAAAAAAAAAAAAAAAAAAAAAAAAAATTAAATTTAAGAAAAACTAGGGGCTGGGCTCAGTGATGCCACACCTGTCTTGAAAGTGCAAGGTCCTGAGTCCAATCCCCAGTACCAAAAAATACATACATACATACATACATACATAAACTTAAGAATAACTAATCACTCTAGGAGTGTAAATGAAACTGCCCATACACCTAATCCTTTATTCTACCACTTTTTCCTTTGACATGAACTCAAGAGCAGAGACCACATCTGCTCCGACTGACTTACGTAACATAGTCTGGCACATATTGGGTATTCCAGCTGCTGAACAGAGCAGGCTACAGACAAAACATCAGCTCATCTAATCTTCCCATTAACCCATGGGGCAAGGACACTACATACAATCTATGCTTGTGAAAAAACAAGGCTTTGAGTTAAAGAGATTGTTCCAAAGTCATAAAGCTGATTAATGATGGGCACAGGTATAACAAAGCTCATGTTTTGACACACAATATTGAGTTTTTTTAAAAAATACATATTTAGCTGGGCATGGTGGTACATGCCTGTAATCCTAGCACTTGGGAGGCTGAGGCAGGAGGATCGCTGTGAGTTGAGACCAGCCTGGTAGTGAGTTCCAGGTCATCTCAAATACATAGTGAGACCCTGTCTCAAACCCCCCCAAAAAATAAATAAAAAATACATATTTCATTCTTGCACAGAAAACAGGAGTTAATGATGATTATATTCTCAAGGGAGCCCACCGAAGACATATATAATAGTAAAAACCAAACATCACTTCACAATTACAAATTAATTTGAAAAAAAACAGAACCCACTTGGCCTGGGGATATAACTCAGTAGTAGAGTATATTCCTACCACAAGGTGGCCCTGCGTTTGATCCTCAGTACAAGGAAAGCTGGAAGGCAGGCAGGCAGATAAAGAGCCAACACACTGGTACTGCCATTACTTAAAAGAAAAAAGAAAAATACTCTACATTCTAACCTAGGGCTACCGCAAAGAAAATGTAATAATGGGCACTGCTCACAGGGGCTTTTTATAACCTCTCCTCAGTACTAGGGATGCAACCCAGGGCCTCTTGAAAGCTAGGTAAGCACTTTGCCACTGAGCTCCATCCACAGCTCACAGGGATATTAGGGACAGAGAACGCCCCCGTGTTCTCCTACTGTTATATGTCATACAACATATTTTTGACACCAAATGTGGGGTTTCTCCCCAACACCAAGCCATTCTCCGGTGCCCACCATCTGGGTGTCCGGCAACACAACTCAAGTCTGGCACTATTTCCCTGGAGCCAGCATCAGACCGCACAGGTGCGATGCTTGGTCCCACAGAGGAACTCCACTTCAGATGCCAATCATAAGCCCCAGGTTGTGACCTATGCTTCTGAACTACAGGCTATAAACCAAGGTTCACGCGACCCCTCCCCAATTTGCTTAATTTGCATAAGCAACTAACAGAATTCATTTACTTACATCATCCATTTAATACAAAGGCCACTGCAGAACATAAAGACGAACAGCCTGATGGCAGACATGGACAGGGCAAAGCACGTGGGCAGGGAGGCAGAGTTCTCAAATCCTCTCCAACAGCACCATCCTTCAGCTACTTCTGTATGTGTGCAGCTATCTGTAAGTTTCCAAACCCAGTCCATCTGTATCTTTGGTTCTGGGGACGGCACTCAGGTCCTTGCGCTTCAAAGCAGGTGCGGGAACCACTGAGCTAAATCGCCAGCCCCCATCTAGGTTTTCATGGAGACTTCATTATGTAAATTCGACCGAGGACACCACTGGCCATTCCCCTGGCAACAAGCACCTACCCTGGGGCTATCTAGGAGCACCTATCCATGAGTGACCTCACTGGTATACGAAGACAGCCCCTTCGCAGACTCGAGGGTTTTAGAAACTGGGATGGACACTAAGTACATAGGTATGTATATATCTTTCTGTAAATCACAACAGCACAGGGTTACACATCCATCAGTGTCCCTACACAGGGAGGAGCAAACTAGGCTCTCTCCACATAAGGAATCGTATCAGGGACATGACAGAGACAATTTTGAGCCTAGAGTATTAGGTACAATGAAGTAAATTACCCTCTGACACAGAACAGAACTATTCCAGAAAAATAATGTTTGGGCTGAAATGAAGTAAAAAAGAAATTGCAGTATTTCTAAAGAATACCCACCCAATGGGCCGGGGATTTAGCTCAGCGGTTCCGCCGCCTGCCTTGCAAGCGCATGGACCCAAGTTCGATCCCCAGTACCAAAAAAAAAAAAACCCCCAAAAAAACAATACCCACCCAAATATACTGCGCTCCATCTTGAATTTACATTGACTGTACCCAAGATCAAGAGGTATAAAGTAAAAAACATCACATATTGATCTTAATGAAAAGAAAGTTTCAGGGAAAGAACATGACCTCCCCTGGTGCTTTGGAAACTTTTCGGTTGTACTGAAGTTGTCATCTTACATTTGCTTCTCTGAAGAAGATAGTCCTCAAAATTTAAAAGACTACATACCAATCTCAACATTGGTTAGCTCTAGGGCATGGGAATCTCTTCACTTTTCACATTTGTATTGTTTGAACATACATACATTTCTCTTATTATTCTCCTGTAATTTGTGTGAAGACATACACAAAAACATTCTTTCCAGTGAAGTCAGCTACTTACTAATGAAAAAGTTAAGGCCAGGTGTGGTGGTGCACGGTTATAATCCCAGCACTTGGGAGGCTGAGGCAGGAGGAGGATCAGAAATTCAAGGCCTGCCTGGGTTACAGTGACTTCAAGACCATCTTAAACTAGTAGTGAAATCCTGACTCAAAAACAAACAAAGAAAAAAGTTAAAACTTTTAGGCTGGGGATTTAACTCAGTGGTTCCGCCGCCTGCTTTGCAAGCGTAAGGTCCTGAGTTTGATCCCCAGTGCCCCAAAAAAGTTAAAACTTTTGATTAAGGGAAGGGTGAATAATTCTTTTTGTTTATTTGTTTTGGTTTTTTGAGACAAGATCTCACTATGTAGTTGAAACTGACCTGGAACTCACCATGTAGCCCAGGCTGGTCTAGAAACACACGGTGATCCTCCTGACTGCTGGGATTACAGGTACACACCACCACGCCTGGCATGGCAATTCTTTTTTTGTTTTTTTTTAAACTAGTACATGTTCACATGAATTCTTGTTTTATGTGTTCAGAGTTTCTGACTGGGATAAAAAAGTCCTAGAGACTGGTGATAGTTCATAACTGCTGGACAGTGAGATATATGAATTAATGCCCCATCGTGTGTCAAAGGAAGGTTTTTTAAAAAATGAATCATAGAGCCAGGGATGTAGCTCAATGGCATCTCAGCTGATATAAAATCAAGTATAGGGCCGGGGATTTAGCTCACTGGTTCTGCCGCCTGTCTCATAAGCACCAAGTCCAGAGTTCGGTCCTGGTACTAAAAAAATAAAATCAAGTATACACATCAAAGACAATTCATTCAACCACAGGACTTTTTTTTTTTTTTTTTTTTTTTAAACACAAGGATTTTTGTTTTTTTGTTTTCAGTGCTAGGGATAGAAGCCAGGGCCTCCTGCATGTGAAAAAAGCACTCTCCTTTTTCTGCTTTCCAATCCGGGATGACACAGCAAGAAGACCCTCACCAAACGCCAGCACCTTGACCTTAGAATTCCCAGAACAGAGTAGCTGGGCTACCGGTGTATGCCATCATGTCCAGCTAGCAGGGTCTTCTTTTTTATTATGAAATATCATAAGCATGTAGTAAAAACAGAGAACACCCGAACACTCAAGATTCCAACTTTGTCAAGTCTTTACCACATTGCCATTTACCTCAGCTTCGTGATACAGGAAACACTACAGACGAAGAAAGACAACAGAAGCGCGGAGCGGTGGCCCACCTACAATCCCAGCACTCCTAGGGGCTGACGCAGGAGGGACGCAAGCTTGAACCCAGCCTGTGCAATTTAGCAAGACCTTGTCTCAAAATTAAATGTTCAAAAAGGGCTAGACATGTAGCCCAGTACAAAGACCCTGGACTGAATCCCCAGTACCACAAAGAAGAAAAGAAACAAACTACACAAGACACTCTCACTAATGAAATGCCTCACAAAATAAGATGTCATTTTCCTCTCATCAAATAGGAAAAAAAACAAAAAACAAATAAAAATTGATAATGTCTAATGCTGGCAAGAGTGTGGAAGAATGTAAATTCAGAGAGTTGAAGAGGATAAATATTTCACAAGCAACAACCGTATAAATTTTATATGAGTACCCAGCAATTTAACATGTTAATATATCCCGAAAATAAATATTAGCATGAGTAAACCGACATCTCATTGTCTAGCAGATGATGGATTATGGCAAGAACAGTCTGCAGGTTTACCA